TAATATTCTTGAATAAGTAGCTCCCATCTGACGATGTGAGAACAGAAGCGATGGGATCTTCTGATCCATCAGAAGACAACAATTTAACATTGACATCAGCTGGGCCTCCATTCTTAATCATACAACTCTCCCCACCAACAGCTCCCAGGACTTTACCGGATAATGTAAAACTGCAATATAAAAAAGAGTAAAACATGACACATTTAACGGAAGAAAGATGACCAAACCACCAATAAAAAAAAAAGAAAAAAAAAAAAAAGACAACAAACACAAAGACTAAATCGAACCCCGTGAAGTGGAAGTTAATGTCCTCGTTGTTGTTGCAACTAGATTCGTCGACGACAACCGCGACCTGCCACATCGAATACAATGTAAATAGCTAGCTAGAATCCCTGAGTTTTGCCTGGAAAGATTCTTGATACATAGTCCTCAGAAAAAAAAAACATGGAGAACAGATTAACCTTATCTGGATTCCATGACCATCCCTCAGGTCCGTTTATCTTGAGAATGAATGAGCCCTACAAGAAGAAAGCATAGAAATCACTTGCAGCAGAAATGCAACACCGATTCACCAAAAGACAGGCCCAGAAGAAAGAAAGATAAAGGTTCGATGAATACCTTGTCATATACTGGGATGAAATAGTAACCATTTGGGGCACACTGTGTACTGTCTTTTACCAATCCATCTACTGTTTGAAGCTCAACCTTGTAATTTGAACGAGGAAAAAAAAAGAAGAAGCAATCTTTGAAACCTCACCCGGAAAAAGAAAGAAAGAAAACAGTCAACAAAGTAATTTCTTACCGTGATATGAGAAAAATCCAGTTTCCCATCAGCTCCATTCCGAGACCTGACCAAAGACGAACTCGCCTGCACGTTTAGTAATTTTAGCAGCGTTAATTAATAAATCCAGATCCGATCGTACTCCCCACTACCGTAACCCATGATAATTTCCCAAGATCAAAAAACATACCCCGAAATGCAAAATCTCAGATAGAAGTGCGTAAACGTACTAAGCAGGCTCAGCTCAGCTAAACTAAATCGACTACTTTAGAAGCAAACATCCTTAATATACCAATACCACAAACTATCTAGTAATGGATCAGGAATCAATAAGCAACGATTGATAAAACGAATCCGGAAAGGAAATAAAAGAGATAAACCTCGACAAAACCACCGCAGCCTTTTATAGAATCCGCGGAAACAGCGTAGACAGTCGAAATCGCTACGAGGAAGAGGATCAGAGACTGGCAAATCTTCTTCGTAGCCGCCATATGTGAAGCTCCGGTGGAGGAGCTAAAAATGGTTGAACTTAGGAAAAGAAGAGTGTTGTTTGTTCGTCAATGGAGCACGGATCCAAAATATCGGACCGATGACTCCCGATCTGTATATCTCCGTTGGTTTTTATTAACAACGAGGTTCTCTCTATTGGACTCGCGAGGGTTTAATGGGCTTTTTATAAGGCCCATTAAAAACTTAGTAATACTGTATTTTGGATTAAAAAAAAAATATATAATCTGGTTTTAATGACAGCTGTCGAGATTTGCTTACCGTTTGAAGAGTCAGTCAAGTACTGGCCAGTCAACTACTAATCGCTGAAGTGAAATAATCGGAAAATCACAATGATTCAGCTCGTGGTTGTAGCGTGGCTCTTGATCTTCGCGGCGGAGACGGTCTCGTCGCACCAGGAATCCGGCGAATGGAGTTGTGAATCGGACTCGGATATCCAGGTCATATCCGATTTCAGACCGGGGATTATCACTCTCGATGGTCACAACGATGACTGGAAGGACATTGACGGCTCCGAGTTCTCGCTCCGGCCTGCACTTGATCCAGACGCCGATCACGAGTATGACGCCGGAAAGATGACAGTCAAGGTAATGTGTTGATTTGAATGGGGTTTGCATTATTAACTTTATTGGTTTTGCGACATTACTTGTAGATTTGATGAAATTTCTGATTTGCCAAGATCCATTCGGTGAGTTTCACCATAGGATTAGTGATGCAGAACTCTCATTGCGGCATTTTGATTCGATTGATAAATCTGGATTTTGAATTCGGTTCGGGTTCGTCCTTGACATTTGATTGATGGATCTCTTTTTCTAGGCACTACATGATGGTCGAGATGTCTACTTTATGCTGGAAATTGATGGAAATTACGCGTATGATAAAGGGTAAGTGTGCATTTTTATAATATGGTTATCCGAGTCGCAGTTCTTAAATGCACAATCCCTTTCTAGACCTCTGCGAGATCCTAAAACTGGTGATCAGTACCATACATTATTTACATCTGTAGTAACCCTACTCAAGTGCCAAGTTAGTATATGTCACTGCGTCTAACCTTTCAGAATATTTGTCCTGCGATGAAAAAAGTGATCCAGTGCAAGTTTGTGTTTGATGCAACTCATTTCTATCTATGTTTTGGTTGATACTTATGAATTATTCACCTGGTGATGTCTTTTTTTTTTTTTGTGTAAATATAATATCTGGTTAGACCCTGGGATTCGTAAAACTTAGAATGCAGATATTCGTTGTCAGGCTCTGGCATGTCAAAATACATTTATGTACTGCTCTGATATTAAAATGATCCTTGATTTATACTTAACTTCAAATTTCAAGTCTTATCACCATTGTAGTGAACTGCTTGCTTCTTTACATCCAGTGAAAACAAGAAGTGTCCTTCAGTGGCTCTAATGTTCCAAATTGGTGATCAAGCAACTTATCACAATGTAAGTTTCTTAGGTCGCTAGAGTATTTTCTTCATATTTATCTTTTGACATCCATGAAATTTTATACGAAACAACTGATGTCAACCTTCTGCTCCACAAGATGGGTGGTTGTAAAGAAGGGACAGACTCTTGTACCAGCAAGGCTTGCAAAGGCTTCGAGGTTGATATTATGCATTTCTCCATTGGAAATGCTATTCCAGGACGGCTTTACGGTGGTAATCCATTAGACAACGGAGAAGGAAATGGAGGTGACAGGTGATTTGTTCTGTCTCTCTCATACTTTGATATGGTGCTGTACCAATTTAGTGGATTATCTGTACCTCTGCTTATCATGTTCCTTGAATGTCTTTGTGCTTTTTCATATGAACAGATTTGGTCATCTGGTTGACATTTATGCGTGGAATCCACATTGTCGATACCTTGATGGTCTTGGACCCTCAGGTACTTTTTTGGATCAGAGGGCGTTAAATCTTAAACTCAAAAGCCTTTACTGGCATAGAAATTCCCTATGAAAATCTTATGGAATAACCAGTTTCAACTTTCAACCTAAGAACCGAAATTACCTTTTTCTTTTGCTTTAGTTCATAGAAGCTTAGTAATTTAACCCAGGTGTTGTGGGTTCCTATTCCTCTAATGTATATTTTCAAGTATAAGTCGTCCTTAAATTATAAATCATTGGTATTCTGGTAGGATGCCAGCGCTACTCGAGAGTAATCTCTTTCTCGTGTGCAAATTACAAATATGTGATCCCATGGATATTCTTTTGGCAGGAAATGATTCTAGCGCACAGAACGATTGGCATGGAGCGTGGTGGCACAGCAGCTTCACTAGTCAGTCAGGTCAGTCTTACATATCTGCATAATCAGTTCCATGAGTTCCCAAAACATAGATTTTATCATGCGTTTAACTGGATTACTGGAAAAATAGGTCATATAGAGGTAAAGATTGGTGTTTATAGAAAGCTCTTAGCCTTAGCATCTCATCTGGTTACTTATCTTTGAATTTTTCAACAGGTTATGTAGATGAAGACAGCCCTTACACGTCAGATGGCCAGAAAGGAACTTACTATTTTGAGTTCTCAAGGCCTTTAAGGACTATGGACCGTCTCCAACAGGTCAGTAAATCGTCTACTTGGATCACCCACGTTCGGTTACAACTTGCTCTTCCCTAAAGTACAGCATAACCTCCAAGCTTTCTTATCTCTGTAAATCACTATTTACTCTTAAACCGGTCCTTATGTGTCAAACACATGTAGAAACAACAAAACTATCCAGTAGAACTGTACATGGTCTTTATGATTTATGTATAAAGAACATCGTCTTATGAAGAAGCTAAGCTAGAGTGGTATATCTACAGGATGTTCAGTTCACTCTTGGCTCGCCAGCCAAAATGTCGGTTGCATTCTGGTACCCAATGGACAGTAAACCGTGGCACGGCTCAGGACACTACACGATCAACTGTGATTGGATACCGCTAGATATCTCCTCGGGATCTTCTTTGGGTCTCACCGCTTCAACTGTAAAGGGCTCTAGTGATGGAACCAGCATTTCAGCCATTGTGATTTCCTTGATTTCTCTTGTTGTTTCGGGTTTTATTGCGTATCGGTTATCTAGCCCTAGGAACGTTCCATTCACACCCATGGAGAACAATTTATAGGAGATGTAGGTTTACACGGTGTAGTCCCACTGATGTCACATTGCTGATTTGGTTTTGGTTCCACGTTGAAAAAGTCCTCTTTTTGGCTTATTGTGAAATGGGTGAATTTGTGTTGATTTGGGTGAAAAGAAAGAGGTACACTCATCGAAGCAGAGTACAGCTACAAATTATTTCAAAAATTTATACTAATTGAATTATCGGTTATGAACACTTTCAAACGTCCGAATACAATAATGCATGGTTGTTTAGAAGTAAGACATATCGATTTTGGCCATTAAGGAGATTTATAAACCAGAAACACGTTCATTAACTGAAAAAAGAAACAAAGAAACTTGTTTTGAGCTTATGTTAAAGCATTGATTACGAAACTATACCGGAGCTGCGGAGCAACCAAGTTCTCTGTAAGATATATCGGTTTTGGCCATTAATGAGACTAACAAGTGAAGAAACATAAACCAGTAACACATTCATTATTCATTAACCAAGAAGATGATAAAGTGTAAAAACCAAACTTGGCCATTTAGACTCCAAGAAGAGACCCCAAAAGCAGCAACACAATATTCAATCATTAATTGAAGAAATGAAATAACATATGAGAGCATATTGAGCATATGAAACTAGACCGAAGAAGCCAAGTCCTCCATACACAATGCAGTTCTACATTGATCTACAGGGACTTGCTCTAAAAAGTTTTTAGATGGTTTTTGACCTATAGGCCTATAATAACAAGCAGCAAGACCAAGTTTCCAAAAGTTTGCATCTAAATCATTCATACTCAAAATAGTAACTGAAAGAATCTTTTCCCACTTCATCACATTGGGACCTTCTTGCTGCAAACCCCATACGTCCACATCCGGATATTGTAACACATTAGATAGACATAAACGATCTTTTAGACTCCATAAGTACACACCACTTGACCAACTTGGCGGCAACACCTCAGAAAACATTTCTGTGTGAAGATCCAAGGCCGCAATCTTTTGCTTGCGTAAATTCAGCCAATAAAGCGATCCATTTGCAAAGATGGATGCTTTATCGACGTTAAGCTCATTGTAATGAATAGGGAAACTGATGCAGCTTTGTTCGCCATCTTTGAGGTTAAAGACTTCAGTCTTGACACGAGTATTGCCACCGATATAGTCGTAGACACGCATCAAAACTATTTTGTATGATCCTGTAACGATGTCTCTCCCAAATCCCACATTAATTGGTAGCATACCTAAAAATTAATAAAGACAAACAAATTTATTTAGATATAGATTATCTTTGTTTTTTTTAATGTTTGGAATTTTAGTATATGTTTTTGTTCATATGGCTATATATGCAAAAGGAATTTGATTACGAATACAAAAAACAATTACTAATTACAAATAAAAGAGTGTCTTCTACCTGGTAGGCATGAACACTTTCGCAAGAACTCACGAGAAAGTACTCTGAGTTTTCTTGTCGTGGGGTTTAATATATAAATGTTCTCAGATTGGTAGATGCAGACTAGACCGTCGCAGTAACCCGTAATCTGACCAATATTATTGGAATGGTATTCACTATACGGATATGGTGAAAAGTCGTAAGAACAAATAAAGATTTTGCTGTGGTCTTCGTGACCATCTGTCGAAATGGTCTCCAAAAAAGTGTTTCTTGAACAGCCATCACTAGATAGCTCCGACCTAATAACAAGGAGTTTCGGACTTGGGTTGCGGACAAGACGTTTCTTGGCGAGATAGCTCGATTCGATCATCGCTTTCCATTGTTTCGACACAGCTTTGAACCTACAGAGGGATTTCACTGGGATATGCTCGAGAATCTTGTCTTCTACTATATCATTTGGCACAGCTTGGCTAGCTTTTGGATTAGTTATGTCTTCTTTATTCATTGTATTATTTGCATTGTATCTCTTTTAAGTATCTATATATATATAAAGTTAGCTTTTTCTCTCTTCTCACGATGCCACCTAATCATCCACCTAAGCCACATTTTTGTTTAAACATTAAAATAAATTTAAAACATTCATTTACTGCATATTTATGTTACTTATTTAATTAATAGAAAGTTTATATAAATAAAAATAAATTATGTAAAAAAATGAAATGTTAAAATAAGAAAAACAATACTTTAATTTTTTATTAGTGGTAATAATATAATTCAACTTTCATTTTAAATTGATCATAATTTAATATTTTAAATATGTTATTGAGTTTTAAAATGGAAATAAAATTTAAATTTATAGTAGACTAAAACAACATTTATGTAATTGTATATATAAAGTTTAAAGAGGAAAAATAAAATGAAAGTGAAATATTAGTTTATAACATGATCAAAAAGAAAAAAAATGATATTTCATAAATTGAATCAAATGTTTTTAATCCAAATTTGAGTATTGAAAGATAATAATTAAAGAGAAAATAATTATAATATTTTTGAAAATCAATTAAAAATACTAATAAAATATCACAATATGAATAAAAAATCAACGAAACAAAATTATAAACTTCCCGCGCGGAGCGCGGGTCAACTGCTAGTATATATATATATGTAAAAAACTTTAGTTATAAACTATCTACAGATTTCTTTTTTATTTTCGTCATTATCTACAGATTTCTTACCACCTCAATTTTCTTTCAATCTCTCCATATATTATTTTTCCGAACTAGGAAAATTTTGAATTCCAATAATAAAACAAAGCAGAAGAAAAAGGGCAATAGCAATTACCCTACGTAAGAAACAAGAAAATAATGAATCTACATGTATTAAATAATATATCAATTATCAAAAAGTGCATATGAAACTACTATATTGGTCTGTTATAGATTTTATTATATATATAATGTTACATATAATAAAGATATTTTAATTAAAATCATTTAAAAAAACTAACAAATTTGTCAAGCATATAACCAAAATTTACTTATGAAGATTATTCTTCCATTTATTTTGTGAAATATATTACAATAGAAATTACAATGTGTTTTTACTAAGTGGTGTAATTTACATAATATGAATTTTCATCTCTTTAATTAAAATACAATCATTGTTATCTACCACATAATCAAATATACAAAAAAAAAAAAAAGAATTTTCAATCTTTGATATTTTCCAATATTTAGAAAATTGAAATGTATAACAAATAACAATGGCACTCTCAATACACAAAAGAGAATAATAACATTAGATTTACTAAAAAAACTTTCAATGATACTGAAATTCTAAATTTGTAAGCATATGAAGAGGAGGTTTCACAAAAATGAAACTAAGAACCGTATATATTCTGGTTTATAAAATAGGAAAATCAAATATACAGTCTCAAATTCTTGAAATACAACTTTAATTCGAATGTTCCAAAGAATTTTTTTGGGTTTATCATTAGTTTTTTTTGTCTTTTTGGTTTGGTCTAATTACCGGTTACAGATTTGTAGATTCTTCAAAAAATCAAATGTGAAATAAATTGAAAATTTTAGGTTTGTTTCTTGTATGCTCATTTCGGTTTTCAGGTTGTTTTCTTCAATATGGTTTTGTTTTGGTTTGGTCAAAACCGGATCGAGCTTCCCTATATTAAACAAACTTCTTCTGAAGTAGTTTGTAACTGTATTTTATCGTTTATGGAGCAAATGAAGATAAAGGAAGTGATTCCAAGTATCAGGAACACCTGGGAGACACCAATGACTGCAATCTTGGACAGCTTTTGAACGCCGATTTTCGGGTTTTGTTCCGTAAATAGAAGGGTGGGCGTCAATTCTGTACTGAGATAAACCGCTAACGTTCAAGAGGGTTACTGAAGTTCTCATCTGCTTCAGTACTTCCTCAACAATGGAGTTTTTGCTCGAGTAGCTCGGTTTGAAGGTTTGGTTCAACGGCATGTTGGCTTCTCTGCAATGACCTCCTGAGTTCCATTCTCCTCCACTGTCCAAAGAAGCAATACAGAAATAAATAATGGAGAAATATGATGGGTCTTTAAAACCACACGAGAGACAGGACAAAAACCTGAAATGAGAAGGTGCAGCGCTTCTAAAGAAAACCCGAGTTTTCTTTGGATCGACATTTTTGTCAACCCATGATGACCAAGTCTGCAAAGCTTTCTTGAAAGCGGTTGATACATCAAGTTTAGGATGAATCAGGTCTCCTTCTTGGTAATAGTTGACCCTGCAAACTCAAACTAATCAATCAAGATGTTGATTTCATTCTTCTTCCGAATTTTTAAAGTAAAAAAATACTGACCCGGATTTGGTTTTGTAATGAGACCACCAATGAGCTGTATTGAACACTAGAATATTAGCACCTTTCCATCTTGAAGAGCTTCGATCCATAGCATCGATTCTAAGAGTTTCTCTTCGCTTCTTTCCTATTCTTGCTCTACCCTCACGAACCAAGAAATGAGTAACATAGAATTCCACAGTGCATTTATAATCCTAATCAAGTACACAAATATAACATAAATAAAAATCACAAATCTAAACACACAGTTATGGACCATTAAGATTATAGCCATGTACCGCGAAACGGAAGCTATAGTTCCCTTTCTCTTTGGTGATTCTCCGGTTGTGGGTTTCGTAGACTTTCTTGGGATCTTGAACAGCTTGAAACAACAAACAAAGCATAGATTCCCACTGGTTCCTATTAATTGAATCTCCAACGAACACTAGCCTCTTCCCTCTAATCATTTCCAGCATTTTAGTAGCATTGAACCTAAACTCACACATACCAAAAATAGCCACAATTTCCAAATCAGGACCACGGAATGGATGAAAAAAGAGTTAAACATATACTTGTAACTATCTCAAAACCATGAACTGATCAGTGGAACTATGAATCCGAATTATCAGTCACTATCACCAATCATTACCATCCCACTAGGTAGATCTTAAGGCCAAAGAGGAAAACAACAAAATTAGAAAGAATGAAAAAAATAACCTGGGAGCATCACAATCTTGAGGCTCCCATCTCCAATTCATGTAACTAAGATCCAACCTTCCATTGGTTTGACAACCAAAGCCTTCATCGATAAAAGGACAAGACGCATTCGTGTACGATGGATAGTCACTATCGTAAACCCACTTCCCTTTCGTAACATCACACTCTTCGATTCTCTTCTTCGTCTTCTCTTCACCACTGTCGCTCGGAAGTTCAATCACTTTAACCGAAGTTAAATTAGCAGTAATTACCTCCTTGTCTTCCTTAACCAAACCCTCGCCGCGAACCTTCTGCTCAAAAACGGAAACTTGCGAAGACCCGGAAGTGTTATCGGGAGGATTAATGAAATGGGTAGAGATCAGAACCGTCGGGCTTGCTTGAGGTGAAGGAGAGAAATCGGAGATGTGGAGGTTGTTGTTGTTGTCAGTAACGGTAATGGCTGCTTTAGGGCTTAAATCGATATGGAAGTTAGAGTCAGAGGTAGGGTAAAGAGGAGAGTGGGATTTAATTAAGGAAGAGGAGAAGAAAGTGAAGAAAACAATGGCGGAAGAGATTATGGTGATGATGGATACTAAGACCCTTGTGGATTTCACAGAGAAACTCCTTTGTCTCTCCATATCTCTCTCTCTCTCTTTATGTTTTCTCTGTAACTGTTACAAGTGTTAGTGAAGAAGAAGAAGAAGAAGAAGAAACAGTCTCTCATTAATTATCTCTGTAATGAGAGAGATATTTGAATATGGAAACGCTGCTATCTGAGAGAAAGGGATTTGAAAATTGGAGTCGACAATGGTGGTTGAGTTCGTGGGGTATAAAGAAAAGGATTCGGTAAATGGATGATAATGACATTCTTACAAACTCGTGAGCTCATGAAATTACAATTATTATATCATAAACGGAGAAGAGAGATAGGAAAACAGCGAATATGTTTTTTTTTATTTTCTTTAAAGCAGGATTAGTGTTATTGACAGATTGGATTTGGAGTTTAACGTGATGGTGGGACACTTGATTTGGACTTTCGCTGGAGGAACACGAGCCTCCAGTGGTTAGTTACCATCTTTCTCAATTCTCTTAAATTACCGCCTTTTTATTTTAAGAATATATGGTAACAAGAGTCCAGGCCCATACATTTCGGGTTTTTCTGAGCCCATGTAAAGGCCCAATAAAACACGGATGGAAATGGAGTTATAGAGAAAGATTCTCTGCTTACGCAGCTTCCTTCAATCACCATTTCGTTTTCGTCGTGCTTCTCTCTCTCTCTCGCTCATCTACGCAGAATCTGACTCGGTATACTCGTATTCTCCCTTTTATGATTAATAATCTCTTGTCTCCTTTGATTTTCGTTTTAGATAGGTGGCGGATTCTGAAGTTACGATTGATTTTTTTCCCATCAGATTCGGATCGATTTCTCTTCTTTGTAGTTGGGATCGATGTGATTAGGATCGGAAAATATATGGTTTAATGGGTGCTATTCTGGATTTAATTCACGTATACTTGTGATTCTTTGATAATTTTATCATTTTCTTTGGGATAGATTTGCCAATTTCATTTCGTGTTTCAGTATCTGTATTCTGTCGATTAGGGTTCTGTTACCATTTGGGTCATAAATTCCATGGCCTTTGATTCTTCAGCTGAACAGAGTATGTCATAGAGTAGATTATATGGTAAATAGATCGAAATTTTACATGTGTGTGTTTATATATAGACTCCAATGGCATACCATGTGAGGAAAAATTGCTTTGATAACTTAATTGATCCATGCGAGAGTGTGTGATTGTGTGTATGTATCTATAGATAGATGTTTATTGGGTTTCAATAAATTTTCCCCCATAGTGAGGTTCTCAGCTATGTTAACATTGACTGTGTATGCTTAATACTTATGGTAGGTTGAGAAGAAATGGCAGGACACAAGGTTGCGCATGCCACACTGAAAGGCCCGAGTGTTGTCAAGGAATTATTTATTGGTTTGGCACTTGGTTTAGCTGCTGGTGGTCTCTGGAAGATGCACCATTGGAATGAGCAGAGGAAAACCAGATCTTTCTATGATTTGCTTGAGAGAGGTGAGATCAGTGTTGTTGCCGCTGAAGAGTGAATGGGATTGCCTCTCTCTCACCCTCACTCAATGTTGTTGCCTCCATTTTTCTGTTTTTTTTTATGGTTTCTTGAGACATCTCAGATGAGTGACCTGAGAAAATGGTTGCTTAAGGAAATAAACAAAACTAAGATCGGATTGGAGATTTGTTAACGTATTGTTTTCCGGGGATACATGGTTAAACTTCAGACATCTTTTTGACTTTTCCTTTGAAGGATGGGTATTTCTCAACCTTTTTGTGTGTTCTTTTTCATTCCCATTGTCCAATGATCCGATCATATGAAGACATATTTAATATTTTGTTTTTTGGTAAAATATCTAACTAGCACCAGTGTTCCTAGAAAACGGCTTGGATGGCTGCAAAGCTTCAACGTCGTACTGCTACATAAAAATACTTGTTTATCGAGATAAATATATCGTATTTCGATAGAAAAAAATAAATATCACAAGAGTTTTTCAAAATACGTGGAACTTTATTGATGGTTAACAGAGGATAAGAAATGGGGTTCACAGAATTAAAATCCACGCACACTTCATATATCTCATTCCCTCCCATTTTGTCTGAATTATCTTCTTTTTTATCAAGGAAAAGTATTCAAAGGCTGTGTGTAACTTCTCCTTCCAAAGATGGCAACTATTGCTACTAGTCTTAACATTGCAACTCAACGTGTCGTCTTCACCAGCGAGAATCGATCGGTTCATCTTACAGGTCCGGTCCGTTTGAACAATCCGTGGAACCTAGGGTCAAGAACAACGAGCCGGATGGTTAAATTTAGTCCGGTTAAGGCAGCACCGGAAGGAGGAATATCGGATGTAGTGGAAAAAAGCATCAAGGAAGCTCAGGAGACTTGTGCGGGGGATCCTGAGAGCGGGGAGTGTGTAGCTGCGTGGGATGAGGTTGAAGAGCTTAGCGCAGCAGCTAGCCATGCTAGAGACAAGAAGAAAGCTGATGGTTCGGACCCTTTGGAGGAATACTGCAAAGACAATCCTGAGACCAATGAGTGCCGTACTTACGACAACTAAAGGAGGTAATCCAGATCATGTTCAGGATTCCTTTATTACAAAATCTTTGTTCCGGTCGATTTGTCAATTTGGCAGATGTAATGTAATAAGGATGATGTCTTATTAAGACTTAATTTAGCTCTAAAAACATTGTAATTTGGTGTTCCACATACGAATACAAAGGACAGAATCTCAATAGAGGCAAAGCGCAGAGACCAATAAGTAAGCTTGAATTCAATAAGAAATACATTAGCCACCAATTACATGACAAGACGGCACATGACTAGAGGACTAGGGCTAAAACCAAACAAAGACCGGACAAACTGAAACAGCAGAAACCAGAGACAGAAGGTACTTATCAAGATTGTGCTGACGGACATGATCCACCAACACAACACAAGACTCATTCACCAATGACACACTAATTGTTACAAAACTCGGAACCATCACAAGAAAAGAAAAGAAAAACCAACAAGAGTAATCAGACCAAAGACTCGATCTCAATGCTACTTTGGATCCGGAATCATTCCTCAGCAATCAAACATATCAGCAGAAGCCCTGATCGGTTGCATAGGGCAAGGCATCTGCCAAGGGTTCTGCATAGATTCAGGGATCTCAGGAATATCCAAAGCCTGACCACTAATCTCTTCGACCATCTCAAGGACAGAGTTCAACGATCTCAACCTGTCCGTCAACTCCAAAGCCTGAGCTCTCAAGACATTGTTCTTAGACTCCATTTCAGCGTATTTCTTAGAAGCTTCATCAACCTGGTCAGTGATTTTAGCGTTGTCGTTCTTGAGAACAGTGACTTCGTTGATGAGATCACCAAGCTGCTTCTGCTTCCTCATCCTTGACCGGCGAGCTGATTCTCTGTTAGAGATCATTCTCTTCCTCTTCCTCTCATCCGTCACAGAGGCGTACCTCGGATCATTATCGGATTCAGGACTTGTTTGCCTTTGCAACGACCCCATTTCGTTGACTTTTTTTTTCTCACCCAAAATTAAAAAATTACAATAAAATATTCTTCTTCTTCTTCTTCTAGATATCTTTCGTCCTATAAAAACCCCCCAAATTCTTACTCAAAACTCCCGAGATTACTAATCTATGAAAGAATAAAGTTAGATCAAAACGAAAATTGGAACGAAAAACAAAAAGATGAGATGGAGAGCGATTACTTCATGAGAAAACGTAGGTGTAGTAGAGATAAACGACGGAGAAAGAGTGTAGAATTCGAATCCGACGAAACAGGATTGAGTAGCTCATAGATTCATTCCTATATTCTTTTTTTCAAAATTCCCAAAACCAAACCCTATATCAGAACAATCCCCAGCCAAATTACCCGACGAGAAAAAATAATAATAATAATAACCTAAGAGATCTAGATCTAGATCTGAGGACAGAAGAGAGGGATAAGAATCAAAGAAAGGAGATGAATTATCTTAGAAGCAAGGAACGGAGCAATCGAATACTTAGCTGAATCGACAAGAAGATAAACGCAAAAAAGCTTTGATATGAGATTCAAAGGCCAAACGAAAGAAGGCGATGAAGTAGTCCCAAGCTATCCTTTTAAAGGCGAAGATGATGATGAGCTGGCCAAGGTTTTTTCTTTATTTTTTAATACAATTAAATGGAAGATAATAACTTTTGGCTAATCTTTTTATTTTTTAAAATTAAATTGGAGACTGACGCCAGCTGTGACGCCAGCTGGAATTTTATAAAGGGGAGCACGTTTTGTTGTTGTTAAAAGGGAAGTTTCTCCGTCTCTTCACGGATGGAATATTCCACCAAGATGCCTCCTCCCCTAAGAGAAATATCAAATGTGTATGTATATTCTGAATAATATGAGTTATATATTCTCAACTTTTGAATATTTCCTTCACGAAAGCGATGTCTAACACACAGTTCATAAGCGTAAAAACCCAAAAACGACCATTAATTATAACGAAAGCCTAGCTACCAGATGTGTGTCTATTAAAAAAAATCATATGCGGCTCTCTTTGGTCAGAAACAAATTAAAAATGATGACGCGATGGTTACATCATTTTACCGACAAACACACAGACAGAGTTCGGAAGTTATCTCATGGGCTTTTTGTAATAGGCTTAGTTGATATGATGGGCTTAGCATCTCTCTTACTTACTCGACTAAAAAGTAAAAACGACAACAACCAAGGTGAATTTGAAAAACGTCACGTTGTGTTCTGATTCTGAACAGTCTCTCAGTCTCATGATGAAACAGCCAAACAGGTTTTCAAACAAACGGACCCGATATATGGCAAATAATCTGGTCTGGTAGGTTGCTGATCCTATCATGCTTTCGTAAACCCTAGAGAACACTACCTCTCCGGTAAAACAACTCTCTTCTAATCTTCAAACCCTAACCCTAAGCCCTAAATTGATTTGCTTTGGATTTGACCCCAAATCAAACAAACAAAAACATATGATTTGATTTGGACCAGTTTTCAAACATGACAACCCAAACCGCTCACTCAAACCAAAGTCAAATCTGAGGATATATAGCGTTTTAAGTCAACCATATAGATGGCGTGATGATGATCATATCTACTACATACATACATCAGTGAGACGTACACGATTTTTAAAAGCTTTTTAATCCTAAACACAAGAGTTCGGATGTTAGCTCGAATGACTGGCCTTTGATTCCTCTTATTTAATGGACATTGCAAAATATCTGAGAAATTATCTCTCTTGGCAACAATAGACATAATGTAGCGTAACCTCTCTCCTACAAAGTCGAGTGTTTGAGGCACAAAAACAACTAGTCAGAGATGAAAAAAAAAGACAGAAAACTGTTCGATTCAGAACAATATCATGTAGGAAAGATGCAAAACAAATAACACTTCTCATGTCAACCAACAGGAACCACGTCTGTTTCTTTTTATCAGATCTACGAGTTCATGTGTGAAGCAAACATACTCTAGTTTGTTCAATCGAACGTGACCTGGACTTTGCATTTGGATGAAGCTCTCGGAAGCATTAAGAGATCCGCCAAGATCTGCACCTTTTTGTCATTTCTTTCCTCAACGTGAATTTCCAACAGTACCAGACACTGCAAATTCTCCAAGACATGCTTTAGTTGCACCATTTCTCCGATCTCTCCTCTGAAATTAGTTATCTTCAGGATCTCAATAGGGCAGGACAAAAGGAAAGAATAGTCCTCCAAGCATTCGCAAACAGATTCTAAATCCCGATAGTCTTGACAAGCATAGTGCAAATCCTGAAAAAGAGACTTGATGAGTACCTTATAAGGGTTTGACCATAGTATATGGTTTGTTCAATGAACTTTTTGGTCATACCTCAATGGTGAGAGTCTTCAGATTTGGAGATTTCTTAACAAAACGTTTTAGAGTATGCCAGCAGACATCTGCTTCAGTTGGCATATATAAATGAGTCATGTTTTCAAACACTGTTTCTGTGGCTGCTTCCCTGCAGGCCTCGAACAGCTGGAACATAATAAAAATCAACAAGTCAGTCATCAACGGGCAACATATGGCTCAAAACTTTAGTAAACGTTCCAATGTCTAGCAAAATTGTGATGAATGGTTCCCTACGTTATACTATTTGTTAAGCTGCAGAAACTTATTAAAAGAGTAAGGAAAAAATCAGTAGAGAACACTTGCCAGCGCTGTGTCAATAAAGTCTAAACGCAGAATCTGAACGTTTTTCAACCCCTTGAACAGGTTCGTTGGATTGGTATTATTCCAAAAAGTCATCAGATTAAAATTGAGCTTCGCTTCAACAAGGGAGTCGAGATTAACAACTGGAAACTCGTCATGAATATAATCAGAGTATTCTAAGTAGGCAAGGCTGGGAGTATCAAAACTAATTCCCTTAAACTCATAGTCTTCATAATGTTCTGAATACCTACTACGCCTTATAGTAAGCCTCTTAAGCGTCAAACTATACACAGTGCGAGACCATTTCCAAAACTCACAGTTAAATCCATCAATGACTAACTCCTCAAGCACAGGACAAGCAGAAAGAAGCCTTTGGAAGGCACATCCATCAAGACCATCAAACCGAACTGAATCAAGAAGTAGAGTTTTGAGAGAAGGAAGCAAAGCATTCTGAGGGAGGATGCCGATAACAAAACCAGACCCGAGTTTCAGTTTCACAACGGTCTTGCAAGTGAAGATCTGAAAAGGCAGTGAGTAATCTCCTTGGACACTGATGTACAGTTCAAGATCCAAGACACCACAGTTGAACACATTGCGTAAACAATCGTTGAGAAGAGTGAACTGAGAAAAATCCAAAGAACGCAGCTTTAGAGAGCATCTCCTCATACGGTGACTGGCATTTCGAGCGACTTCTTTGAGACTTTCACTAATGGCAGACGAAGAGGAGGAATCAACAAAAACATCAGTCGTTAAGAGGGTGACGAGATTATTCCATCTCTTGGAAGCACACTTCAAGCACGCAGCATCTTTTGCCGAAAGGACAGAGATTACTTGGAAAATAAGTTCATCTGGTAAATCACTGATCCTATCCATACTTTTTCACAAGAAAACCGAAGCGTGATAGAAGATGACTAAATTCGATAAATTCTTCGCACTCGAGAAGCAAAACTGAATCTTCAAAGAGAATTTGACGAAGAATTAGAGCGGAGTCATTTTCTTGAAAGCAGAGAAAAGAGAGGAAGACGACGACACGAGCAAAGAAAGTTTGGATTTTTTTTTTTTTTTCAATCAATTTTGCTCTTTTTATATGCTCCGATACAATAGCTTTTCAGCCAATCATTTTACGCCAGCTGTAATCATTCCCTCCCAATCCAAATTCCGGTTCACATTCCGTTTAAATTTCTAATTATTTTTGGTTTTTTGGTGGAAGGAAATTTCTAATTATTTGGTAGAACATAAAAAGAAAAAGCTACCAAACTGTTTGTCCAAAAAAAAAAAAAAAAGCTACCAAACTGAAAAAATTGTTATTTCAAAGAAAAAGAAAAGGACACAAACTTAAGCAAATAACTTTGAGATGAGAAGGGGGAAAAAAGCATAAAACACAAAGCGCTATGCAAACCAAAGTTTGTAGTAATTTTGCCAAATCAACCAACAGACCCTTAAGCGAATCTAGGAAACGATCTCAAATTTGCACTGAGACGAAGCTCTGGATAGCCTTTGCAGATCTCCTATGAGTTTCACCTTATATTTACCTGTTGCTTGAGAATGAACCTTCACCAGCTTAAGACATGACAGTTTCTCCAAGAAATGTTTCATTTGTATCAATTCTACCGGAGAACCATAGTAATCATTTATCTCTACGACCTCCAAAGGGCACGACAAAAAGAATGAGTACTCTGACACGCACTCGCAAACAGAGTCTTCTTCGCAGTAATAGAAATTCTTATTGTGTAAGGGACCCTGAAACAAGACGGAAGAGATTGAGATTCAAGATTAACTCATGAGTATCTAAAAGTTATTTTCGGTGTTGCAGTCATACGTTGATCTCAAGCGTCTTTAGATTAGGAGATTTCGTGATCAGCATTGGCATAGGAGACCAACAGAAGTTAGAAAGGCTAACATATAAAGAAGACAGCTTTTCAAACACGGGGAGTGCTTCACGGAAGACATAAAACATCTGAAACATAAGAAAACCAATCAAAGACAGCATAAGAATTACACCTAGCAATATTTTCCAAATAGAGTACAGTTACCTTTGCAGTCATAATGGTGTACAAGTTGAGAATCTCAACATTCTTTAGCCCATTGAGCAGATTCATTGGACGAAAGCGTTTCTCATCCCCTTCCCCCCACATATAGTTTTCTTCCGGACAAAGATAGAGAGTAGCTTCAACAAGGGAGTCGAAATTAACATATAGATACTCTCTTGGAACATAATCAGAGTAATATAAGTAGGCAAGACCCGGAGTATTGAAACTAATACTCTTAAAATCAGAACCATCAAAAGAATCCCACTCGTTACGCATTATAGTAAGTCTCTTAAGGCTCGAACTAGACACAGTGCGAGACCATTTCCAAAGTTGCCAGTTGACACCAGATATGGTTAATTCCTCGAGCACCGGAGCCGCAGCAAGAAGCGCTTTGAACGCACAACGACCAAACTCATAGAACCGAACGTAAGAAAGAGAGAGAGTCTTGAGCCCTGTAAGGAGGGCATTCTGAGGGAGACTGTCAATAGCAAAATGGCACCCTAGTGACAGTTTAGTAACTGTCTCGCAAGTGAAAACTTCAGAAGGCAGTGTATAAGCTTCTACGCCATTTATCCGCAGTGTAAGAACCATGACACCTCGCTTGAGCACATGGCGTAGACAACGGTTGATACGATCATACTGAGCAGGCTCGGTATCCTCATCAAACCACCAGTTTAGAGAGAACTTGTTAACACGACAAGTGGCTGGAAGAGCTAATACTCTGTCCACAAAATCCGTAAGACTTTCTCCATCCTTGACAGAACCATCAAAATGAAGATCTGGTACGATGGTGAACAGATGATGCCATCGCTTAGAAAGAACCGTCGTGAACGCAGCCTCCTTCGCCGAGAGAAAGGACCCGATTTGGAAAACGATCTCGTCTGGAAGATTGCTGATTCGATCCATACTTTAGCAAACCCTAGAGTGTAATCTTCAGTGTAATCTTCAAACCCTAGCCCCTCCCCAGTTAACCTCTTTCGTAATCTGGGACAATCCTCCATGCGCAGGACCACAATGCATATATATGGATTAATCCAATGAAAACTTGCCACGTGCGTTCCCTGGTTTCGTTTTGCCGCTTCCTGTTCGTAAACTTAACCGCCAGTTGAATTTTTATTTTTTTTGTCCTGCCTGAACTGGTTTGCCCAAACCGACCACATAACCAAAGCATGAGACGACAGCGTTTTGATGTTTTTAACACGGATGCTAATTGACACGTTAGTTAAATGTAGAAGAAGAAGAAGAAGAAGAAGAAGAAGAAGAAGAAGGACATCAGAGTAAATTAAATTACGACCACAGTGAGAGAACTAAAACCCTTCCGGGCAGAAATTAAAAAATCCTCGAGGCTTTGCTTCATCGGGAAAGTATTATCCTCAGGAGATTTTGAAATTTATGCGAAAAGTAAAATAGAAAGAGAGAGGAGGATGATGAAGACGAGGTTTTTGGATTGGTATTTGAAGATAGCGATCGGATCGGCTATTATAGGCGGAGGCATGGAGCTCTTCATGATCAAGACTGGTTTCTGTATAATTCCCATTTTTTCTCTTCTTTCTTGCTTTTTAATTTTAGATCGGAATTTTAGGGGTTTTGTTTTCCTTCCGAACAAACAACAATTGATTGCAATGGTTTCTGTGAACGGTTTCATTTCAACGATTTTTGGAAACTCTTGGATAGATATGTTTAACAATTTTCTGGTTTCTCGGGAGTTTCAAGCTTATTGATGTTGAAGTTTCTTACTTTCTTGTGTGGTTGTGTTGGGTTCTACAACACTACACTGGTTTGGGCTTTTTTTTGTGAAAGCTTTTTGATGAAATTGTTTTATTTCGGAAACTTGCAGACGACAAGGTTACTGTAATAGAAGCAGAGAAACGGGCCTGGGAAAATTCTCCTGAAGCTCAAGCCATGAGAGAAGCTCTTAATCCCTGGAGAAACAAGGACGCTGAAGCTAGCAAAACTCCATAGATCAATGAAGCACCTCTTTATTCTCGTTAAGTTCCTTTCACTCTCAAACTTGCTAATGCTGCTTCAGTTTCTTTATGTTTGAGAGTTAAAATGTTTTATCATTAATAGTATTTTTGCCAAATGTGCTAAATCCAGCATCTTTCACTATACTTCCATGTTATTACAAGATTTGAGATACTTACATTATAAAAGGATGCCAGACCATTAAAGATGTCTTTGTTTTCCTTGCTGCACCTGAAAATAATAGTCAGTTTTGCTAAAATGCTTTCACTAAATAGTGTACATTTAGACACATACGCATGTTCCTTTATGTATGTATATGTGTTTTGAAAGTTAAATAAGACCTCTGCAAACTATAAACCCACTGTCGTAAAGATATTACAATGAAATAACAGATAATGTAATTATTGTTTCAGACAAATGTTACAGTAGAAAGAGCAGAGACATGTTTGAGGCTTGGACTTTGTAAGTAACCCATACATGTGTTTGTTAAATCGAACAGGTGAGCAACAATTAATATTGGCAAATCGCTGAATTGTTATTTTTTTTAGCAAAGCATTTCACCTATGTTACAATACAAAAAGCAGAGACATGTTTGGGACACTATTTGAATGTTGGCTTCCTGATGCTTCTCGAGGAATTAGAACCTCAACTGTTGGCTTCAAGCAAACCCAAATGTGATCAGTTAAGTCCAAGCTGTGCAAGTGAAGTCAGGTTTTTTTTTTGGTTTTAATGTGAAGAAGTGAAGTCAGGTTACTTGATTGAAGTAAGATTTCTGGCTCAAAACCCCAGTAATTTGCAGATGAGCTCAAGTAGAACAATCTACCAATGAGCACAAGCTTTCTCCAAATGAGTGAGTTGAAAGATCCAGTTAACCGCCCCGAGTCATCAATCTTCCATGTATCTCTGTTTGAATTTCCTTCTGGTCATCTGACCCCATCTCGCAAAGATCTCTGCAGCAGCAAACTTACCAGAGAACTTAGCTCTCTGTGCCAATTCCTCAAATATCTCTGGTTGTCCCCCTCTGTAGAAATCAGCAGCAAACTTATTATAATCAATCAAAGGGGTTTTCATTCCTTTGTCAAGCATCTCCTCTAAGTATCTACATGCCTCTCTGGACTTCCCTTCACCTATAAGCCCTCTGATCAAAACTGTGTAGGAGTTATCGTCAGGACAAATCCCTTTCTTGATCATCTCGTCCCAAACTGCTCTCCCCATCGCGTAGTTTCTCGCCATGAAGTAAGATTTCATTATCATGTTGAATGTGTGTATTGATGGCTCAATTTCGTTCTGGATCATCTTGTTGTAGATCCTTGTGGCGTGTTCCGGCATTTTCTGGTTCGCCATCAGTTTGATCAGCGCATTGTACGTTTTGCCATCCGGAGGATATCCCTTTACTTGCATCTCCTTGAGCAGTTCGTAAACCGTATCGAGCTTCTTCTGAGTCCCGAATCCTGTGATCAGACACGTGTAAACCGCAGCATCTGGTTGCAGCCCGGAATCAATCATGTCATCGAAGTACTCAATGGCAGTTTCCATGCCCGACTGTTTGCAGAAGTCACGGATCATTATGGTATAGCTACGGACATTGGGGCAAGGTCCCTTGGATTTCATAACATGGAACAATTTGATTGCATCAGATTTTTTTCTGCTCCTCAACAAACCCTCGAGCATAACATTGTGAGCTACAATGTCAGGTTTCAAGCCCTGATCAATCATATCGTTCCAGATTCTAGCTGCTTCCATCAAGTTCCTCACGCGGCACCAACCATTGAGTAGAACAGTGTAAGTCATCATATTAGGGGTGAACCTCTCTTTTAGCTTATCAAACAGAACCTGAGCTTCTTTTCCAAGCTTAGCCCTCCCAAGACTATCAAGCAAACAATTAATCGTTTCGACACCAATTTTAAACTTGTACTTCTTCATCAGCTCAAAGATACCAACAGCCTTCTTCCTCTCTTTCGCAGCAGCGAAAGCTTTCATGGCTATAGTGAATGTATCCATAGTCAATAAACCTTTCGTACCCATCTCTTCAAGAACCGAAATCATCGTTTCGAACTGTCTAGTCTTTGCCAAAATACTCATCATGGAGTTGTAAGTTCTTGAATCATGAGCAAACCCTGGCTTCTCTGCAGCCCAACAGAAGAACCTAAAGGCAGGTTTCCTAGCATGACGGAACCGTTCTAAAACCTCTACAACCAGATCGTGAGATAAACCAACCTTCATTTCATCAAGAACAGCTTCCATGTTTCTATCCAACGCAAACAATTCATCAATCACTTTGCAGACTCTCTCTACTTCTTCGAGATTAGTACTACTTGACCCAACAACACAACTGACCCCAATTTCATCATTATCGTCTCCAGATTCAATTTCGTCATCACATCCATCACTAACATCAGAACTACAACTAGAGAAACCTCTAAAACCAAGACCCGCGTCAAGCACTACTGTAGAGGAGTGTGGCAATGGAGGATGATATATTATATAAGAATGAGACAGACGAGAGAAGGGAAAAGAGCTAGCACCGGAAAACCGAACTCCCTCTTCTCCTCTCCCGTCGATTACGCGACTTTGACCAGAAATGAATTCATCGGAGTTGAATGAAGAAGAGCAGATGAAGGGGAAACGAAGCCGTTGAAAGCTACGAGGAGTCTTAATGGAGCTTCTTCTCAAAGCCATGGCGCAGCAGCAGCCGTAGAAGCTCGACGGCGATTAAGCGAAGTTGGTGATTAACGGCGGAGCAAAAATCAATCAGACCAGAGGCCTCTAATATGGGCCTTAGTTTGATTGGGAATTCAGTTGACCCATTAAAGGCCCATTAGTTCGGTTACGTGTTCATATTATATAAACCTTTTTGGGTCACAAGGAGCAAACATTAAGGCGCCAACGCTGAAAGTGAAATAGATAAGGAAAGGTGTCAGATTTTGTCTTTGAGTTGGAAGGTATCTGTATGCATCTTATCTTCGTTTTAGGGTCGTCATATTTTCTCAAGTTTTTTTCTTCTTCTATTTTTTTGAGGGGACCAATAATTTTCAGATTTATTTGCTTCAATCATACATTTCTCTACCCTTACGTTATCTTTTGTAGACGTTTCTGGATATTACAAAACTGAAGTTCATAATTAGTCAATCAGTGTAAACATCAATCATCAATATTAACTATTAAAGGGATTGATGTAAAAAAAAAAAAAAAGGGATAATATATGAAGGACAATTGATGTTGAAAAGCATGAAATCCAATAGCCATGCCCATAATAACTACACAAAACATAAATTGTAGATAAGACTCACATCTGAGATAAAAACGAGAGTCCTTTTGTATTTGTAATCATATCATATGACATATATATATATATATACTAGCAGTTGACCCGCGCTGCGCGCGGGAGGTTTATATTTTTTTGTTAATTTTTTATTCATATTGTGATATTTTATTTCTTTTTAATTGATTTTCAAAACATATTATAGTTATTTTCTCTTGAATTATTATCTTTCAGTATTTAAATTTGGATTAAAAACATTTTCTTTTTAATCATGTTATAAACTAATATTTCACTTTCAATTTTATTTTCCCCTTTAAAATTTTATATATACAACTACATAAATTTTGTTTTTATTCTATCATAAATTTAAAATTTACTTACATTCTTAAACTCAGTAACACATTTAAAATTTTAAACTATGATCGATTTAAAATGAAAGTTGAATTATAGTATTACCACTAACTAATAAAAAATGAAAGTATTTCTTATTTAACATTTCATTTATTTACATAATTTATTTTTATTTATATAAATTTTCTATTAATTAAATAAGTAGCATAAATATGCACTAAATGAATGTTTTAAATTTATTTTAATGTAAAAAAATGTGGCTTAGGTGGATGCTTATGTGGCATCATGAGAAGAGAGAAAAAGTTAACTTTATATATATAGATATATATATATATATATATTCATATGTGGGTTGGGGTTTTATATCTTATCTTTACATTAACATTAAGAAGTTTAATCACCAAAGAATTTGTCAAATGTAAAAACTAGACAAGAGATAGTGTCTCTGCAAATATCTAGAATAAACAAAAACACTTAGTTCCAAAAAACAGGGAAATCAAGTGGGTTTTACCTAGCTAGGTACTTGTATAAATAGAAAACACAATCGCAATCTCTTCTTCCATCAAAAAGCCTTTCCTTCTTCGATCATTAGATATTTCTTCTTCTTGTCTTGTAATAACTACTGCAAGCAAACAAAAACTGTTTTTTTCGAAAGAAATGGAGGAAACGAAGGAGAGAAAGATAGTAGTAGCAGTGGACGAAAGCGAAGAGAGCATGGAAGCTCTTTCATGGAGTCTTGACAATCTTTTTCCCTATGGTTCCAACAATACCCTCATCCTCCTCTACGTCAAGCCTCCTCTTCCCGTTTACTCTTCCATCGATGCCGCAGGTTTGTCTTTCTCGTCATATCTTTTTTTACTAACTATCCTTACATATATATAAACCGTTTTGGCTTAGTATAAAGATTTTGTTTGGTTGATTTTTAGGGTTTATAGTGACCGGAGATCCGGTTGCAGCCTTGATGAAATATGAACACGAGCTCGTTGAATCAGTCATGGCTCGATCTCGAACCGTCTACCAAGATTTTGAGTCCGAAGTAAGTTAACTTATTTCTGTAGATTTTTTTCCATCACTTTGTCCTATGATCATATATTTAGAAACTGACTCATTCATTATTAAATAGTGAAATTTGACTAATGTGTTATTTAATAATAATAATGTGCAGATTAATATAGAGAGACGAGTTGGAAGAGGAGATGCAAAAGAAGTTATATGCAACGCAGTTCAGAAACTTAAAGCTGATATGTTAGTGATGGGGACACATGACTATGGCTTCTTCAAAAGGTAATTAAGGCTTCAATATTCTTTTTATAAGAGACACACAAAAATATTTCGATCATTTAATGGGATATTTGATATGGTTTGGTGTATGTTTCATTGATAGGGCATTGTTAGGGAGTGTGAGCGAGTATTGCGCCAAACGAGTCAGGTGTCCTGTGATTATCGTTAAGAAGCAACCTCAAGATAATTGATAACCTTATCATCATCATCATATGTCTCTGTATATTTGTGTATGTTTGATAGTAATTGATGTAACATTTCAATCAATCTTCGTATGCAATAATATATAAACATGACACTATGATGAAAAAATAAAACAGATTTCATAAAATTTTGCCGGACATATTTGCAATTCACATATTAATACTAAAAATAGTAACTAATTGTTCTATACCCGACTCCCTTCATACACCCACAAGTCACATGTTACTATTAATAAGTCAACTCATAAGTCAACGCACTCATACGCAAACGACGCCGTTTTATTTTTCGTCTGCGCCAACTAAAAACCCAATTGTTTGGATGGGTTCATACAAAGGCCCCAAGAAGCCGAGACTATATAGTATATATTATTTACAAATAGTTTGCTAGAACCAACCAAACGACGCCGTTGTACGAAACGCGAATCTGTGTAGAAGTTGTCTTCCCCCTTGCTCGTCGAGAGAAGAAGAAGAAGAAGAAGAAGAAGCGTCGAAGCGATGTTCCTGGTCGATTGGTTCTATGGAGTTCTGGCAACTCTCGGATTGTGGCAGAAGGAGGCGAAGATTCTGTTTCTCGGTCTCGACAACGCCGGCAAGACCACCTTGCTTCACATGTTAAAGGACGAGGTTCGTTTTCTTCGAATCAGATATCAGTAATCGCTGGCTTCTGTTACTTAGCGCTGATTCTAGTTCAGAGTTTGAGCCATAGGCTATCGTTTGATTTGGGTTTCAGAGACTGGTCCAGCATCAGCCGACACAGCATCCGACATCGGAAGAGCTTAGCATCGGCAAAATCAAGTTCAAAGCCTTCGATTTGGGAGGTCATCAGATTGCTCGTAGAGTCTGGAAGGACTATTATGCTAAGGTTTGATCTCCTTTGCGATCGCAGTTGTTTACATGATTGTTCGGTGTTTTAGGTCAATCAATTTGCCAAGTCTTCTCGCTACTTATATATGTAGTCTCTAAGCTGAATCTATCTCACTAAGTAGACGCTATTAGGTAACGTTTCCGATGTTCTTACAATCTTCCCTGTGATTAAGAAACAATAGCTTGACATGATAGAGCTCAAGTGAAATCGACAATGATAGCTTGAAACGACAGGGTGGTTGGCTGTGTGTAGAAGATTAACTCAAACTTGAACTTTGGAGGATAACTAATCTATATGAATCTTCATGGTGTTGCAGCATGTGATTACACATTTGGCTGTTTATATATGTATATAGTAAGCTTGTTGTGACCTCCTTACTCTCTTCTGTAGCCAATGAGCTAACCACTAGTTGCTGTATCAGTCCTTTTTTTGGTTGTACGGTTTTGATTGCAAAGCTGTTGCAAAAACAAGTTTACAAATGGTTGTTTGAAATCTCTAGATGATATAGTTTTAAATGACATGATGATTGATTGGTATGTGGACATTGTGGAGATGGAAAACTGGATGATAACGTATCTATAGAGTAGTAATCTTTGCTTCTCAGCATGAGGTCTCTTGACATTCTGGTGACTGGTGATTCCAAGTTTGTAACATTTTGATGATTCTGGTATCTTCAAGTTTGTAACATTTTTTTTTTTTTTTGTCTCTGTTACTAATAGGTAGATGCAGTGGTATACCTAGTTGATGCATATGACAAAGAGAGGTTTGCAGAATCAAAGAAAGAGCTTGATGCGCTTCTTTCAGATGAATCCCTAGCAAATGTCCCTTTCCTCATCCTTGGAAACAAAATCGACATTCCATATGCTGCATCAGAAGACGAGCTGCGTTATCATCTAGGCCTCAGCAATTTCACCACGGGGAAAGGGAAAGTGAATTTAGCAGGAACAAATGTTCGCCCCCTTGAGGTGTTCATGTGCAGCATTGTCAGAAAGATGGGTTACGGTGAAGGATTCAAATGGGTTTCTCAGTATATCGACTAGATGACAATATAAGTCTTATCCTATATCAAATGTGAGTGGTATCGACTTGTTATGATATATCTATAATGTATGATTTCGATTCGCGATGTAGAATGAAATATGTGAAAAGTATGTATATTATTGTATATTTTTGTGTGTGTGTGTGTATACAACAAGATTTCTATTTTAAACGACTTTTAAATTAGTAATAATGAAAGTGAATACAAGAGACCAAACTTGAATCCTATGAAAAGTGCGAACCCATTTGTCTGTGACTGTGCAGCTGAGTGGGGCTTTAGCAATGGCTGTCTCTTAGCTTTTTATGAAAACTAAGAAAGATGAAGAAGACTTTTGCTTTAATAATGTAATGTAGAAAGAAAAAAAAACCCATGTGAATGGAGCTTGACATTTAACAATCACAATGTCCTACATTGAAGACCAATCAATTTGACGCTTAGATGTACCAATAATCATGAGTGTACGTATGTATTGTTGTTTTACATGTGTTATGTCTCTTTGTGAACTTATCATTATGTCTGTTTATCTTCTTTCTAGGTATCGTGAAATGAACACAAACAAATGCCGTGGATAACTATGAATTTGTTTTAGTTCAAAATAGAGAAAGAGAGAGAGTGGAGAATAGTAATAGTTTTACGAAAGAAACACATGCATTTGAGCACCAATCACAATGCGTCCTCGGACTCAGCCGCTTGGAGAAGCTCGACTAGTAGTGGCAACGCAATAAGGCTAATAGATTAGATTTTGTGACTCGAATTGTTGCAGCTAAAGTATATATATGTTTATGGACTGTGGAATATATTATGTATGGGTTCTTATATCTTTTTCCCAGAATTTATTCTTTGGAATGATTCTTTTCCACGTGACCAAAAGTTGAAAACAATAAACAGTTTTTTTGAAAGCAAAGCAATTATTTCTATTAAAAATGTCATCTTTGGATCGATTCTTTTGTTACACAAAATTTGTTGATTGGTTTCTCTTTTTTATTATTCGCCACTTTCAGCAAAGCACAGCCGAGCTAGAGAGACTGCTTCTCCTCTTTCCCATGTGAATATTTTGAACATATATATAAATATATGAAGATATAACCAAAACATATATGTAATTTGAAGTTTCTGCTCGAATGGGAAAAATCCAAATAGAAACGAACGAATCAGCTAGCTATCGGTTAAACTTGATTAACATGAAGAAAAAGGAAGATAGAAATTTTACAAAGAAGTACGTATTAAGCTAATGGATTTTGGGGTAAAGGGAAGCACATGGATCACTCATTCCCACGTGATCATCCAAGCCAAAGAACACGTGCCTTCCTCTGATCTATCTGACTTTTTATTTGATTGGTTTCAGTTGTTTGGTTTGGTACAAAACCCAAAGCTTTTTGGATCCAAAAAGAGGTCTCTATCGTATGAATTTGAGGAAAACTAGATGATTGGGGTTTTATTTGCCCAACGCAATATTCTCTTATTATTTTTTACTACTCAGCAACTTTCAAATTAGTAATGACGTTAACTATGCAACTAGTGGTAGTATTTTCGATAATATTCATTTCTTAATCTTATAAATTCATATACTTTAGCAGTATTAGATTCCTATCTTAATATCTGCGCCAACTTTGACGCTTAATTATGTGGTTCTTCTATATGTATAAAACAAACCCATGTCTCGGTAAAAGTCGCCATAGATTATAGATAGAGAGAGATCTAGAGTCATATACAACAACAATGCAATGATGCATGTCGCAATGGTCGAAAGACTTATTGTGTACAATATATATGGACGGACACTTGCAGAAATCTTACTCTTGGGTCTCAATACTATAAATATCAAAATTTTCGATTAATTTGGGGTTTTAGATGTTGGACATTCATATAACTTGCAAGATACTAGTATGGTAAACATATAGTAAAATGTTTAGAAACTAAACACACATAAATTTGCGAATGTATTGTATATACATAAAAGAATAAAGAGAGTGTATTTGAGAGTATGATAAATAAACGCCGTCATGGGATGCCACTTAAGAGGCTAACATGTTTATAGAATGGGGACAGTTGCCCTCTTAAGTAGACCCTCACTTTTAAATTACACTTAGTATTTAATTAGTAGTTAGCATACAAATATTATGTAGGACTACTAAGTAACAACAACACGTAATCGTCTTCTTTCTAGCGTTTGTGTTAACTCTCGATCAAGCCATCCTGGCATTATTGTCCCAACCAATGGGCACGCTGTGTCGTTTATATCAGCGAATCTTTTAATACACTCTATCGATACTAACTAATACTTCTCAACTAGTTAAATTTCCAATCAAAATATCAAAAATCTTATGTTTTTTGTTTATTTTATCATAAAAACATATTATTTTGAGGGAAAAACTGTATTTTAAACTTATTTTTTAGATTAAAGAATAAAGATGGATATTATTTATCGGTAAATGATATTAACTAGAAAGGCTATAAATTGTAGCCAATAAACATACATTGCCTATAAGTCCAAAAAAAATAAAATGTAGAAGGAAGTTGTACCTATAATATAATCATTTTCTGAGCTGCATTATTATTATTATTGCTGTTATATACAGTTCCCAATCATAAAGGCTAACCATCCCTTGCTATATAATCTTTGTTTATTTAAAGAATCCTATGGAAATAGGGTTGGATATTTATCTTCCTTGAAAAGAAAACAAAATAATTAGACCATATGTGCGATAGTGCTACATACATGTCGACAGTGCATTGAGTTTTAGACCATGCAAACTTATAGATGTTTTGCAATATTTTGCTGTTTTATTAGACACATTAATCACAAGACGTGCCCCGATTAAATTAATTACATAATATCACGACGGTATAAAATCGGAAAACCCTTAAAATATCCATCATTTGAAAGAAGTAGCATCTAGAAATAAAATTGAAACTCGTGTGTAAATCTTTCGAAGCTCTAAGAAATTCTTGGCATGGCCGAGCATCTCATTATGATATCCCAAATACTATTATATAGGCCTCATTCTAAAATTCTCATTTTTGGCAAAGAATGATAGCCCAGAGAACCTAATGAAGAAAATAAAAGTTGAGGTATATAGTAAGAATTAAGAAATAATTGAACATGATTACCCGAGTGATGGGTGATGAAATAATGCAATCATTCGTCATCCAATGACGAATTTTCAGAATATGACAAAATTACAATGATGTATAAACTACAAAAATACTATTTTAATCAAGTGTTTTGAAAGTTTTGTAATCCTAGCTTTATCGGTAAAACTATCTCAGTTTAGTAATACTTGAAAAAAAAGCATCATGTTTAAACATGTTACAAATGCGCGACTCAAGAGTCATTGCAATATATAAAACATACATCAATTATAAATCTACGAAACCAAAACCTTTATTGAAATTACTTGCCTAAGTAGATACATTACATTCATTCAAGAGACTTATTATATAGTTAGGAAAATAATGTATTGTTGTTATCCATGAAGATTGTACATTATAGATGCATGAGGGAGGCTATCTAATAAGGTTAATAGTAATTACAAGAGATATCAGATATGATTGAAAGATATGTACACGAGAATTAGCTAATAAGATTAAGTGTAAAGATATGATTCTAAGATATATATATATATACACACACACATACAGAAGATTGATAAACTTTAGTTACAGCAAAAGAATATATATATATATATACATATATATCAAATACACACACATAATTAAAAGGATTAATTGGGTTTTTAGTACATTTTTGAAACATAATTGTAGAAGTAGTACATTTACTATTCATTATTAGCAAACTAATACATTTTTACTATTTGGACACTATTTAGACAATATTAAAAAACCCCTTAAATCTAATAACTAAAAATATTCATCAAAATATATTTGTTTTCTATAAAATTTCAGTTACACAAAAATCTGTATTTTTTTCTCTATAATTTGATATGCATTTTTAAAAAAATAATTTCATATATTTTTCAAACAAATTTTGATACGTCCAGCTAACCTTATGTACAGTTGTGTGGCGATGTACGGAAAATCATCCGTACAGCGGTCTATATATACGTATAATTGTATGTGTACATATATATTCTGGTCTATATATGTATATTTGTTTATGTGTAAATATGTTTATACGTAGTTGTTTCTCTTTGTACAAATATTTGATGTACAATAATATGTTATTGTACAGTTGTTTGTCTGTACAGATATCTGAAATAGTAAAATTGTACTATTTTGCTAATTGTAAATAGTAAATGTACTATATTTATAATTATGTTTCAAAAACGTATTAGTTTGCCAACACACCCTAATTAAAACAGAGAATAAATATAAAAGGGGAGGTGCCAGCTATTAAGTTGGAGGATCACAACTTTTCTCTCAGGTCAAAGCTGTCATCGCGCTCTCTCTCTTCTAGACTCCTCTGTTTCCTTATCTCTCTCTCTCTCTCTGTGTCTTTATAAAAAACACTTGCTCTCTTCTTTTCTCAAATCTTGGAGTAGAAGAAGCAAAGAATTTTGAGGAAAGAGTAAAAAACACAAAAAGTTAAAATTCTAGTTTTTGGGTAGTCCCTTTGATCCATTCAGCGATCATATATCAGAAGACCCTTTCCTACACAACTCTCTGCTACAAATGGCGGTTCATCCTGTTCTTGACGGCGACAAGAAGCATTGGTGGTTCACTCACAAGAAGGTAAACCAAAACCCTCCCAAATCACTAATCTTTCTTCAGTTTCTTGATATTCTCTGTAAATTAATTTGGTATCGATCATTCACTCAAAAGACATAACCTTTTTTTTCTTCCTAAAATGATTTCAGATTGTTGATAAGTACATTAAGGACGCAAGGTCTTTAATAGCGAGCGAGGAGCAAAACGACGTTGCTTCAGCCATCCATCTACTAGACGCGGCGTTATCGATATCTCCGATTTCTGAAACTGCGTTAGAACTCAAAGCCAGATCTTTGCTCTTTCTTCGTCGCTACAAGGATGTCGTTGATTTGCTTCAAGATTATATTCCAAGCCTCAAGCTTGCCATGATGAACAACGAGGAAGATGGATCCGGTTCCTACGACGGTTCTTACTCTTCCTCCTCCGCTCAGCTCTCCCGGAAACTTCTCTCCGACTCCCCTCCTCGCCGTGACTCCTCCTTTAAGTGCTTCTCTGTTTCTGACTTGAAAAAGAAACTTATGGCAGGCATTTCTAAAAACCGCAATAAAGATAAACAATGGAGGTAATTTCCTTTTTTTCCATTTTTTATTTCATCCTTTTCATTAAATTAAAGTTTTTTATTTTTATCTTTAGGAACATATTACTGAATTATTCTTTTCGAATTGCATTTTTATGTGATGATATAGCCGTGTATAACTTGTATTAACGCCAAGAAAAACTAAAAAAAAATTCGGGTTTAAAATTAGATTTAATGTTTCCTTGTTTTTTAAAGACCAATCTGAGTGTAGTTTTGAAAATAATAAGTACTAATTAATTGTTATTTGTTTTGTTGTTGGAAATTTCAGATACGTTGTTTTAGGACAAGCTTGTTGCCACCTAGGATTGATGGAAGACGCAATGGTTCTTCTCCAAACCGGGAAACGCCTCGCAACCGCCGAGTTCCGCCGTCAGAGTGTAAGCTGGTCGGATGATAGCGTCTCCATCCTCCTCTCCGAATCACCTTCGTCGTCCTCTTATGCTTATCCTCCACGCAAACTCACCGAATGCGAGACCGTCACTAACCTTCTCGCCCACACTAAAAATCTCCTCCGTCGTCGCGCCGCCGGATTCGCCGCCTTTGACGCCGGACTTTTCTCCGACTCGATACGTCACTTCTCCAAAATCGTCGACGGTCGTCGTCGCCCTGCTCCGCAAGCATTCCTCGCCGATTGCTATATGCAACGCGCCGCCGCTTATAAATCCGCCGGAAAAATCGCAGAAGCCATCGCGGATTGTAACAAAACCTTAGCTCTAGAGCCGTCGTGCATCCACGCGTTGGAGACTAGAGCCACGCTTTTAGAGACAGTTCGGTGTCTTCCGGATTCACTTCACGACTTAGAGCACTTGAAGATTCTCTACAACACCATCTTACGTGATCGGAAACTTCCCGGACCACCGTGGAAACGACACAACGTGAAGTACAGAGAGATTCCTGGGAAGCTATGCGTATTGACTACGAAATCGAATAAACTTAAAGCCAAAATCGCTAATGGTGAAATCGGGAACGTCGATTATTACGGATTGATCGGAGTTAGACGCGGATGCACAAGATCGGAGCTTGATAGAGCCAACCTCTTGCTCTGTCTCAGGCATAAACCTGACAAAGCTTTAGCATTCATCGAACGTTGCGACTTCTTCGATCAGAACGAGATTAGTTCCGTTAAAGACCGAGCGAAGATGTCTTCTTTGTTGCTTTACCGGTTGATTCAGAGAGGTTATTCAGCTTTGACGGCAACGATAGCAGAGGAGGAACAGAGGAAGAAGATGGTGGCGTTGACTCAAACGCAAACGCAAACGCCTACGCCAACGCCAACGCCAACGAAAACGGTTGAAGAACATGAACCGGTTCAAAAGTCCGGTTCAGTTAAGAGAACCGGTTTTAAAGAAACTAAACCGGGAAATTCAAACGCGTTCCAAGGAGTTTTCTGCCGAGATCTTGCCGCTGTTGGGAGCTTGTTATCTAGGACCGGTTTTAACCAACCGATTCCAATAAAATACGATGCAATCAGTTGTTAACCGGGAATTTTTTGATTGTATATAATATGTAAGATTTTTAATTCCACTTTACGAATTATTTTGGTCACTTTTAAATATTCGTCTCTTTTCCTCAGTTTATCATACTTTCTTCTCTTTATTTCTGTGCAAAAAAGGCTTTAATCATCGAATATAAAAAATCAAATTTCAGTGTGAGATTAATTACCATTTGTTTTCATTATAGAAGTGTTAGTGTGACAAATATATGAACACTAATCGGATAATGTAATATTGTAAGGGAAGATCATCGTAGATTTGTGAGATTAAAATGAATAAACGAGTCTGAGTCCGCTGACACAAGAATTTAATAGTCGGAGGAATCCTTATCTACAAAGTTTGGCATTGGTAATGGATTAATCAGTAAGATTAAATGTTGACCAAAAAGAAAAGAAAAAAATCAGTAAGATTAAATAGAATTTGTTGATAAAAATTAATTAACTAGTAGTTTTAATAATTGGATAGATGGGTCGTCGTCGTCGTTGATTTTAATTCGTTTGTCAACTGATGGACTAATTTAATTAATTTAGTAGGATCTTGACCAAGTTTCGAAGTATAGTTTGGTTCGATGGTCAAAGCTTTCTTCCATTGTAGAATTTTTTTATATAAAATATATATACGGGTGAGAATTTTTGAAATCTACTATTACTAATGCAATTAATTTTATTTTATTTAAGAAATGACACAGGGAATACTATGCAACCGTACCTACTCTTATTAAATTAACATCACCTATCAGTCTCTTGTGTATTATAGATATAGAATACATATATTTTGACTATAAGAAGTCCATATATATATATATAGTATATGGGTTTTCGTTTATTTCCCAAAGTTGGTGAAAATTACGTAAAAGTGAAGGTGTCATTGGATTGCCTGGGATAAACACAATTGTGTGTTAGATAGTTTCTCTCATCATCGTAAGGGGAATTGGTTCGTTCGTTCGTTCGTTCGTTCGTCATGAGCTGGACGAATGTGGTGCTCCAAGTAATAATACTCTAGTAAAGAGAGAGAGAGAGATACACCATTGATGGGGGAAAATGAGAAAGAAATAATGAAAAGCACGTGATGTATAGGATGTTGGAGACATTGGAAAGAGGATCAGTCGTGGCCAGGTGGTATATATACTTATATGAAAAGATGAAAGTCTCTATGATGATGATGTCAGTGTGTATCCATGTGACCTTATCATCTCTACTCATATTTTTTAAAACATATTACATATCCAAGGTTCTTAGAGCATCATTATGGGCATAACCCCAAAGATGGCTCTTAGGGGATGTTTAATATATTAATAATGTAAACTGTTAAATTAAGAACTTCAAATATAGAGTTGATTATTGGTTGAATCTCTAGACTCTTAAAATTTTAATAATATAATAATATAAAACATATTTTTGATTGTTAAAATTAAATAAATAACTTTTACATTTAAAACTTATAAAAATAAACATAAAAGTGAATTGAAAATAAAAAAAAAGAAAATCAAGTCAAAATTATTTTATGAACTCTTTTCAGTCAACAAGATGAATTCAAAGAAGGAGAATACCAAACACCTCCTCGTTTCACCTCTGAGTATTGTGAGATCCAAAGAATTTTGGTCCCATCTCCATCAGTCTTTTCCATGAGATGATGCGTAGTCTTTCATTTTTTGTTTCAGTTGCTGCAAGACGGTAATCATATCTTGTTGTTAATACTAGTACAAGCTAACATAAGAACGCAGAGGAAAATGTTTAAAACCAAAACTATGGTTTGTAACTCACCTTCAATTCTTCGTGGAGAACAACAAATACTTTCTTCAAACGTTTGTGTCTCTGCAGATTGCATGGCAGATAACATATATATACAAGTAAGTCATGATCAAGTACAATGTGCAATCAAAACACAGGGAGAAAATGCACAAGTATGATTCAACACCAAGTATGGCCAAAAAGACTCTGATTCCCTTTCAATGTATAGTCACTTCTTTCCACTATCATATTCCTACGGTTTATCTTTTCCTTTGTATTGTCATGAAGATCAATCTAGGTTACACAGGTGGACATGTTTCCCCCCCCCAACCCATTCTTATATAGTAATAAGCTACCAGCACACTTAGTTCAAGAATTACCTGAG